GAGGACGTCGAAGGGATAAGTGGGGGAGAATGTCACAGACAAACTTTGAAACAGGATGTTTGATGTAATGCTTATATCTGTCCGTGTCTGTTGGCATGTTCATGCCTTGTACAGCGTGTAGAGGGGCAACCGAAGGCTTATAGGTCCCATTTTAGTTGGGTGGTGGCCTCTTTAGGCTTGTAAATAAAGATTGTGTCATGTGGACACGTGCGAGAGCTTTTCGGTCTGTAATGGACCATTTTACCCTTTGTTGTGCCACTGTTCAGAGCTTGTAAAGTCTGTTTGTAATTTGCATTGTCTATGAAGTGTTTTTCGGAGATGTTTGCTTGTGGATCCCGATTGAGGCGTTCTCTCTAACCCGTTCTCTCTTTTGGTGGTCCTAAGGGACAATGGGAGTCTTCGGGGAGGCTGACCTTTGCGGACGGACATGCAAAGGTGCCGCACGACTTAGGCAAAACCAGCTAAGTCCGTGTTAGGCTGGCAGTCGGCACAGGTCGCGGACGGAGGTAGGGCGTGGACCCTTCCCAGTCGCCCGCCGGCTGGGCCCGGCCTCCCCCCGACGAGGGCCCTCCTCGGCCCCTTTCGAAGGTGCCGCATTCGCTTTCTTTCGAGGGCGCCCGGCCTCGATCTCCAGTGGGGTGTCCTTCGTGCCGGGCAACGAGTCGACTGGCGGTGCTAGGGGAGGGGCTTGCGACGCGTTGCCCTTGAGAAGTGACCAGAGGTTCACCATTTCTACAAAAGACAAAAAAGTGTTAGTGAGGATGAACCACGCAAATATCCGAACCAAACATTAACGAACGTACCCAGGGGCATCGGGCTGAGACCCGCCTCGACCAACCACTCCTCGGTCATGTTCTGGAGGGCCTGGGACCCGGGGAGAATCTCCCTGAGCCTCCCCAGGTCGAGGCGCTCCACTTCGCCCAAACATGGGGTGGTGTTGTCGATCGCCCTCGCGGACCATCGAACTCCGAAACCCCAGTCCTGTGCGCGGCTGATGTAAAAAAACCTCCCCTTCCACGCTTTATTATTAGAAGGGGCCCCCCCCGACTCGGAAGCCCTTCCGGGCAGATAAGAAGTAACCTCCCGAACCCTTGGAGAGGCGATAACAAGAAAGAAAAAGGTTAAGGGTGGGGGTGATATGGGCGTAGTGGCATTCACCCAAGAATACCACCAAGTAGCACCAAGAGTTCGGCGCCACTTGAGATGGCGAAATCCGCCAGAAAGACAAGCAGGACACAATGAGGGGGTGAAGAGGGAAGCGCAAACCCGCCTCCAGGGCATCTAGGGTTAAGGCGAAACCCTTCGGGACCGGGTCATACGCCCGTTGTCCCGGTTCAGGCGCGCCAAGAACATAGTCCCCCGGGATACCATAACGCTCCCGGAGTCCGACCAGTGATGACTCACTCACAGAGGAGTCCTGGTCATGCGGCCACATCAAGGCCTTGAGGGCCCACGCCGCCTCCCCATCAGATGACTCAACGAGGGGCGGAGGAGGACTTCCCTCCCTAACTCCGGGGGAATGGTTAGAAGAGGAGGAGGGAGAGGATACCATCCTCACTGACCTTAACTGGGGGTGCTACGGGAAAGGAGAGCGACGCTGGAGGCGAGGAAGACGACCGGAAGAAAGACGGCAAGACCGGAAGAGAAAAACTCAGCAGCAAAAGATAGAGGTGAAGTCAGGCGTCCGCTATTTAAAGGAGATATCCCGCCAGAACCAGCGCCCCTTCGCCTCCCGAGAGTGGGCGGCAGCCCACCCGCGCACGTGCGTAACCGTCGTGTCGCATCGGAAAATACCCAAAGGCGCTCCACCTTAATGAAAGCCTGACGTGGTGACCCTGCTAAAGCGGCAGCATCCGGACGCCTTGATCCCGGCGCCCAAAGACGTGCGGCAGAAGCAATCAATTCCCCCTCAGGGAAGAAATTAAATGCGGTAGCTTTTTGATCCCCGCCGCCGTCAAAATAAAGGGAGCGGCACCACACCTATGCGGCCAGCCCGCCTGCGTCGTGCTCCTCGGCTCCATGTTCTCCGAGACCACGCCTGCACGGCCAGCCCGCCTGCGTCGTGCTCCTCGGCTCCATTTTCCCCGAGATCACGCCTGCGCGGTCTGCCCGCCTGCGTCGTGCTCCTCGGCTGCATGTTCCCCGAGACCACACTTGCGCGGCCAGCCCGCCTACGTCGTGCTCCTCGGCTCCATGTTCCCCGAGACCACGCCTGCGCGGTCTGCCCGCCTGCGTCATGCTCCTCGGCTGCATGTTCCCCGAGACCACGTCGGCGCGGCCCGCCCCCCATGTCCCACGGCCGAAACCACGACCCTCGCTAGGGTTCCCAATCGAGTTGCACTCCTCGGCCGCACCCCGCCCGAAATCGCTGCCGCACGCCCGATTCTCCTTAGCTGCTAAAACTCACACACCCCCGTTAGCTGACCAGAGACCGCTTGGCAGGCACAGTTTCTCAAAGCCAAAGCCATGCCTCCGACTTCCCCTCACGACAATCGAGGCATAGCTTCCTTCGGGGGGGGAATATGATAGGGATAAAAATGGCGATCAGGTGTGCCACGACATCAGCCACCCCTAAACGGCACACTGCCCCAGGGAGCGAGCATTAACACCGAGTTAATGTGTGCCCACGCCCACCGTACCCAGACAACCTTATCGCCTAACCCCGCACGACTGGCCGTGGCAGGGGAAGGCGTCGCCTGAAGCTCGCCATACCCTGCGGCACCCCGGCCTTCCCCGCAATGCCCACGACAACGACAGAGCCATACCCTGCGGTACCCCGGCCTTCCCCGCAACGCCCACGACAACGACAGACGTCGTCAGAGGTACGGCCCCGCTCCGACAAAATGGCGCATCAGGTAACGTCAAACCTATCTATAAATACCCCCGGGCTCCAAACGGAGAAGGGGGAAGCACTTCTTCATCTAAAACTCCACTCCACATCACTAACTTGATCGTCGGAGGGGTCGGGCCGAGCTGCCGACCCGACCTGTGTGCAGGTACTCGACCGAAGTCGTCTCTACCCGGCGCCGCGGCAAAGATTTTCTTCCAACCAGACCCCCGCAACCAGCCACCGTAAGATCCCGAAGGACACAGCGTCTGATCCCCGCCATTCGGACCCCCGAACCAGCCGCGTCGGCCCGAGGCCACGGCTAAAAAAGTTGTTTACACCAACAACATTAACTATATATTTTAGAAAAAAAGAAAAAAAATACTTGCAGTAATTTTATTGATTACGGTAAAAGAAGAATATTATCTTGTATTTTTCCCACACATGCTGCAGGTTTCAGACTTATTCCTGTTGTCTCTGAAAGAGAGAGAGGTATACTTTTAGATGCAATAGACTTCACTGGAAGTAGAGACTGTCCCCTTTACAGTGGGAAGCTCATTCTACATATGGATTGTATATTGTCAGGTGGACTGAATCACCCCTGAGAATTTTCAGGGGTGACGTACATGGGTCCCGCATGACCCCTTGACGAGCTTTTCCAATCCAAGACCGCCAACTGTGGTGGAACAATCTAAGGGTGCACACCATGATTCTAAGCTCATCTTTAATGAGCATGCCCATGTTCTGCCCAGTGGCTCGGTGGCCCACACGCCCCGAGCGTTCATGGAGTGAGCTCAGAGACCAGTGGAACTGAGCATGTTTTCCTGCCGAAAAAATCAAAGCAAACGAGAACTGAGCTTACCGAAACGAGTGATGTTGAGATGCGAACTGCCTTGACGAAAACCCATAAAGCTATGATGATGATGATGAGGAGGAGGAGGAGGAGGATTCATTTAACCAAGGAAAAGTGTTCTACGACTAAAGCATGCACATAGCAGTAAAGGTGCCGCAGGCCAGCTCTCCAAGAGCTACATCTCATCTTTGTGCGTGGTCTTGCACAAGGAAAAAAGCTTCACCTAACAGATAGTTCTCAACACCAAACCCTGGTCCCAAACAGATATCAAACCGCGTGTGTTGCTTCACAAAAGCAAAAGCTGAAAGAGATAAAGGAAGAAAGCAGCACTGGCCGAAAACATGTAATCATTTGTTCTTCCGCACAACAACATTAATTCTGATTTATATATATATATATATATCATGTAGACTTTCCACGAAGACAAGAATACAGTACTTGTGTTCCTTTATGTTCTGAGAGTTCGAAGAATCGATCGAAAACTTGCATATGTTTTGCCTTGTGAATCGATTTCGAGTGGAAGTTGAGGGAGGTAGGCGCATGTGACTAAGAACAATGGTGATCATCATGTTAAGGTCATGATGTGGTAGGGTTACGGGTTCACTCATTCTTTCCTTTTCTTAAGAATGCTCTTTGATGAAGAGGTAGTACTGATGTTTGTGTGAGTGAAAGAGAGAGAGAGAGAGTTGCTGGCTCATGATAGTCTCACCAACCCACCGATTGAGATGCAAGTCATAAGAATAATGTTGATAGTAAAGCATACAGTACAAAGTGAAGCTTGGATCCCTATGAGATATATAAAGAAAAGGATGGTTGCGTCCTGGTTGAGCTCCCTGCAGATACCCTGTACAATCCCCAAATCGACATGGATATAAGCACCCCCTTACTGTTCCTCACAGCTTAATCTAATGGAGCCTCCCACTTGTACAACCTGTGCACTAATCATGTGAAGCACCACTCTCGCTCTCCATCTCCACAACGCAATGATTCAGCCCATCTCCGAGAACCAACCTTTTCAGTGACTATTGGCCAACCTCCATGAGTGTTTCCAGCTGCTGGCCAATGATCCGGTGCTGAATGCTGGAGAATTCACCCATTAGAACCATGCGAATGAGCATGCATTCTTCCTACAGTCTTCGCGGATATATGCACATCCGGGAGGCTGAATCAACCATCGCTTCACTCCATGGCTTTGGTGGGCCAGTCCGCTCGTGTGCTGCCTCGACGGCTCGGTCCCAGTCTCCACTTCGGAAAGAAAGGTGGAGGGAGGAAAGAAGACGAGGAGAAGAAAAGGCCGGAGGAGAAGATTCTTTATAATCACTGAAGGCTCCCCTTTAGTCCCTCCAACTCGCAGCCAGCACGTAGGCGAAAGAGAGAAGAGAGAGCGAGAGAGATGGCTTCCGAGAAGGTGGAGACCATCGTCGCGGGGAACTATGTCGAGATGGAGAGGGAAGGCGAGGTGAAGGCCTCGAAGAGCAAGCTCTCGCGGTACTTCTGGCATGGCGGCTCCGTGTATGATGCTTGGTTCAGCTGTGCTTCCAACCAGGTGCTGGTCATGGCTCCAAATGCTATCGCTGCAGTCACATGCATGCCCTGTGTGCATTGGCTTAACATGATGGGTGTCTGTGGGTGTGAGTTCAGGTGGCTCAAGTGCTGCTCACACTGCCATACTCATTCTCCCAGCTCGGGATGTTGTCAGGCATCCTCTTCCAGCTGTTCTATGGGCTGATGGGAAGCTGGACTGCGTACCTTATCAGTGCGCTCTACGTGGAGTACAGGACTCGGAAGGAGAGGGAGAAAGTGGACTTCAGGAACCATGTCATTCAGGTATAGATCATTATCAGCTTCTCTGCAAAATTAGCAGAATTCATCAGGTATAGATCTTCGGGTAGTTTAAGGTGAGAGGAGAGTAAACATCATCTAAGTTGTTCACTTCTCTTCAGTGGTTTGAAGTCCTCGATGGGCTATTGGGAAAGCACTGGAGGAATGCAGGTCTGTTCTTCAACTGCACATTCCTTCTTTTCGGCTCAGTGATTCAGCTAATAGCATGTGCAAGGTGATGATGAATACCTTTCCACGATCTTATTTCTGATTCATCCTTCTACGAAGACATTTTTCCCACTTGTTCTTCTTTCTTGCAGCAACATTTACTACATCAATGATAACCTCGACAAGAGAACCTGGACCTACATCTTTGGGGCATGTTGTGCTACAACAGTCTTCATCCCTTCCTTCCACAATTATAGGATCTGGTCCTTCCTAGGCCTCCTGATGACTACGTATACTGCGTGGTATCTAACAGCAGCTGCCTTGCTCCATGGGCAGGTAATGATCCGAAGTCCCACCAACCTGCTTCTTCTTCCCTTTGTTTCTCATGTTCTTGATGAGACTTGTAATCTGTTTCAAGGTGGAAGGCGTCACCCATTCAGGCCCATCCAAGTTGGTATTGTACTTCACAGGCGCTACCAACATCCTCTACACTTTTGGAGGCCATGCTGTCACAGTGTGAGACAGCCACCCTACGATCTATATGGTCTATGGATTCTATATGCTTACCTTCCTCTGACAAGAGAACTTTTGTTGCAGAGAGATCATGCACGCCATGTGGAAGCCGCAGAAGTTCAAGCTCGTGTACCTGTTTGCCACGCTCTATGTGCTGACTCTCACCCTTCCGTCGGCAGCTGCAATGTATTGGGCCTTCGGCGACATGCTGCTCGATCATTCCAATGCCTTCTCTTTGCTCCCGAGGTCTGGATTCAGGAATGCTGCAGTCGTCGTCATGCTCATCCATCAGGTACCAACGCCAGTGCTCTGCTCGATGCGTCTCTGTTCATCTTGTGCTGATGCATTCACGAACTGATCGATGCTGCGCACAGTTCATAACCTTTGGATTCGCGTGTACGCCTCTGTACTTCGTGTGGGAGAAGGCGATCGGCATGCACAAGACGAAGAGCGTCTGCAAGAGGGCACTGGCGAGGCTGCCCGTAGTGATCCCGATATGGTTCCTAGCAATAATATTCCCCTTCTTTGGTCCCATCAACTCCACCGTCGGCTCCCTTCTCGTTAGCTTCACGGTGTACATCATTCCAGCCATGGCGCACATGATGACCTTCGCTCCCGCTTCTGCCAGAGAGGTAAGCGTTCTCGGAAGCCACACCACCATCGACTTTTCTGTGATCTCAAGTACATACTCCTAAGATCAGTCGATCGCTGCAGAATGCTGTGGAGAGGCCTGCATCGTTTCTAGGAGGCTGGGTTGGCCATTACTGCATGAACGCGTTTGTGGTGGTGTGGGTGTTGGTGGTCGGCTTTGGATTTGGGGGGTGGGCGAGCATGCTCAACTTCGTACATCAGGTGGATACGTTCGGCCTCTTCACCAAGTGCTACCAATGCCCTCCAAGGCACTAATGAGTCGAGGGGAAGCAAAGAGAAGTGGATTACGTATGTGTGTGAGTGTGGAAGGATTTGGCTGCTTAGATTGTATGTATGCTTAATGAGGTGCAATTGACCTGGAAAAACCATGTGTTTGTCGTAGCATCATTCCAATGGGGGTACTGTTACTGCTAATACTACTACTACTACTAATATTATATTGGGGCTTTTACATGAAGGAATCAAAATCTCTTTGTAGTTTCATAGGAAAAAGTTAGATAAAGTTGAGCATGCTTATGTTTCAAGAAAGAGAGATGGTGAGCATAAGTTGTACTGCTCCATGAAGGAGGAAGTTCTTGAGCTGATGGAAGCCAAAAGCTTTCTTCTACATTCTCTTCATCCAGAGTTAAGAGTCTAAATTGCAGCTGTCTCTCTCTCTCTCTCTGTTATTCGATTCTGGAAAGATTGGAGCAAAACTCCCATCTTCTAATGCTGAAACAACTAAAAGCCTCCTCCAATGGTTTATCACTACATCTGTACATGATCACAAGTTGAAATAAGTTGGGAAAGATGTTAGTCACATTCACTGCAATTCAATTGGTTGATTCTCTGCACTTGATTTGATTGAGCATGAAAATGTATGAATGCTAAAAGAAGAAAATAATGCTGCCTGCATTAAACTGCGTGGGGGCAATGAGACTTTCCTTCCCATTGGACCAGAGGCTGTGACATGCTTGCCTGTGCAGACACTGAAGACCCATATCACAAGAAGAAAAGGATGGAAGAAGATGGACTATGACGGGCACAAGGCCAAGAAAGAGAAAAGCCCCAAGGAGTTGATGCCAAATCTACTTGCTCTCGAGTTGCCATCTCATGTGATCGTTGTAAAGGAAGGTGGAGCCTCGGAAATGAGGTCTCATCTCGGTGTCCCCTTTTACCAAAAGCCACTTTCCCCCTTAGGAGACCTCCACACAAAGAGAGAGAGAGAGAGAGAGAGATCATGTTTCAGCACCACCTACCACTTGAGTACTTGTGATCTCGAAGACATGTACTGCTCAAAGAAAACCTCATCTTTCTCAGCAAAGGACGATTTAGAAGTCGCAAAGCTATTCATGTGAGGTTGTCGGTGCCACATCAATCAGCCAACTACTCATGCAATAATCCGAATCACATCGGATCATAGCGGTTGTTCCAAGTTGATGATGGACTCAAGTACTACCTGTGTTGTGTCATATTGGATACAGTTAGAAATGAAAGGAAGGTGATGATGGTATATGATTCAAATAAATCTACTACTAGTCCACTGACATATTGTAGGAGGGCAACTGTAGTGTCTGCTAAGCCACTCATGGCTCACTGTTGTGGAGTCGGAGTCACATAGCTGCCACAGGTTTCTCCAATCTTATCACAGAATTGAAATGGGAGGAACATGACAAGCAAGTACCTGCTTGAAGAGAAGAGCCAAAATTCCAGGAATCAACCTTCTCTTCTCATCCAAATCCAGATGTTCTATGTGCACTGTTGCCAGCTCTGGTTGTGTTCTTGCCCTGCATGACATGATCAGCATCTACTCAGACAGTAAGAATTGGAAGGGTGAGGGCAGCTAAATGCAATGGTTGGAATGTAGCATGGTGCTTGACATGCCTGCAAAAGAAGCAGCTTATCTTCTCATCAGTGATTCATCCAAGGAGTGTGTGAACACATGGAGTCCCTCTTCCAGGTTTGAGGCATGTCATTCCACTTTGTTCTTTTCACTTTGTGTCCCCACTTGGAATCCTACATCTTTATTGGCACTGGTAATACTCAATCCATCATATGGGATAAGGATGGAGCTCTGATATAGAAAGCATCAAAGAGGCTGCAATGCCTTCTATGTGGAACCTGGTTGTCATGATCAATGAGCTCGGATGAAGTGAAAGAAAGAAAGAAAGAATCTATCAGGAAAAATCATGCCAAAACAGAAAATAACATTATTATGAAACATTGCCAAAAAATTAAATCTCTGGAAAAAAAAACACTTGGTTCATATCTCACTGTCTTACTACTTATCAAATCAAGGAAATCGATTTCATACTTGTGCTGGATTTAGTGATTAGTTCTATCACAGTTTCTGAAACTTGTATGAGAAAAGATTCAGGTATCAAAAATTCATACCTGGTTGATCTGGCTCCATTTAGAGTCCTCTTGGTTACACATAATTGATAGCATGGCTTCAAAGGCAAAGTTTCAGTTAACTGGAACCTCAAAAAGACACTACATAACAAGAAGAAAAGAAAATAAAGCAATGAAAGGTACAAGGATTTATACAATTATTACTATGAAGTCTAATTTACTTCCTTAGGGTATACTCAACCTTACAGAACAGAAAATATTCACAGACAACACAGACTAAACAAGTTGGATGCCATTGGCAATGTGTTGATTCAGATTGCATGTACCTCTAACTCAAGAGTACTGAATGCAAACAGTAAGTATGTTATGAATCCAGCTATATAATCAGGCGTTGAGACTGACAAACAATGGATGATTTCCAAGACAAGATTCAAGCTATTTTGCAGCTCAGATGATAACATAAGATGTTCTACATGGAAATGCTATGAAAGACAAATATGGACAAATTTACATTCAAATGAGCACCAAGAAAACATGTAAATTTCAGCATGCTAGCTAATTTCTCCTATTAAAAAATGAGTTCCCATGGTCATCAGAGGGGTGAGATCAGAAGATGATCATGTACATATCAAGGAAACCTCAAACTCGAAAGACAAAAGAGAATCCTTTGGGTGTTTTCTACTAGCATGATTCATTGTGATACCTGCAAATTAGAAGTGACAAAAATCAACCACATACTGATGTCCATATTAGTTTGTCTTCCATGAACATGATTGTGAATGACAGGGGGGATGCAGCACAGGGAAAGAGTCCAAAGGAGAATAGTTAGTCAAAATTACACAGCCTTTGGATCTTCAGATCAAGTTTTTTTAGGGGTCTTCATCACTCAATCTACAGATTCAACTTTTGAGCTGGCAGAGACTGGATGTGGTGTGGCTTCTGCTGCTGGATAGATCTGATTTGCTGTAGAGCAAGGTCCTGATGATATGTGATTCCAACTAAAGCCAGGACAAAAGAAAGCCAGAAAGAAATCCCAGTTGTATGAATAATTCAGATAAGAAAGAAGTTGATGTTTACTATAAATTCTCATCTCAATCCAGGAGCACACAAGAAAGTAGAAAATGCATCTAAAATATAAGCTTTTTTTTTCATATTGATGATGCCATATGTGATGCCACTTCCTAAACTGGTGCTTGCACTTCATAAACACGAGGCTAATGTCTCTTTAGCAGAACAGCAGGAAGGATCAAAAGATTAATGCCTCAATTGTTGAATCTAAGAATTAAATCAATGTAAAAAATTATTAGCAACCGGTATGTATTTATATAACTTTCAGCTGTATAACTGTTGTTTCTTGTAGGTACATGTGCAATATAAAGCTTTCCTAACATCACTGTAATCCCGATGTTTCTGATATCAACACAACTTCATGGTTACATGTTCTTGTAAACCAGTAGTCTTGATTTTGATGCTCATATTTTAACGAAAAACCTTGAGTTAGAATATTCAGGAGCTAAAAGAAGAAGAAACCATATACAACTTGGATGAGCAAAGTTTAACTTTGGGTATGCATCAGCTGAAGTTTTCAATAGGATGATAACACAGTACATCTGTAAAGAATCAATCACCTATCAATTTTTGCAGCTTCTTTGACAAGGTCCACATAAGTCATCCAGACAAGTAATGGAAAAGGACATCTCTGCTCAATGATGATGAAACACTGGATGTTCAATAGCATTGTGTAACAAAATTCGTACAACAAGAACCAAGGTTTGAACACATTACTAGGAACAATCTGCCTCAACTTCGGAATTTTGCACAAGGGTGAGGAAACAAAAGAACATTGTAGAAGCAATGGTGAATAGAGCTCTTGTCAATGGCATTAGACCCACCCACTCTGATTCATCACAGCCACTTGGACTTGTTGTTCTCTCTGGTGCCTGAAACCGAAGGCAGCATAAACAAATTCATGTGGCTGAAACAATCTTAAACGGACTAAATGCCATGCGGGGACTGCGGCGAGTTGCACTCGAGCAAAATGCTTCGACTGCAGTAGGATCTCGAAGTGCTTGAAGAAGACTGAAGACATCTCGCATCTCCACTCAACGCGATAACCTCATTTTCTTGTTGCTTCTCGGTGAATAACCTCCCATCATCATGACAGCCTTCACCTTGTACAGCCTTAGCAAAGCCAGTGTATGAAGGATCCAATCTCTCACGTAGCATTCTGAGAATTTGTTTGATTGATGGTCTTTCCTTCACTTCCCTCTGAGTGCACAACTTTGCTATCCCCACCACCACATGGAGCTGCTCTAAATCGACTGCGTCTGCAATAGCTGGGTCAACCAATTCTGAGAGCCTAAAACTGTCTGCTAGTTCCTGAGACCATTGAACCAGATTTCTGTGATTAAGGCTTGCCTGCTTTCCAACCACAAGCTCTAGCAGCAGTACCCCGTAGCTGTAGACATCACTCTTATCAGTCATCATCTTGGTGACCATATACTCAGGATCCAGATAACCTGTACAACAAGCCACTGATGTCATTCAGTGTTGTGGCATCCTCTAATCACAAAGGGATCATAATTTATTTCATTGCATGAATTAGCTTACTGTTAGCATGCACTTGATAATATTTCTAAGGTGCTATGAAATCTCATATATTACAGTTTCCTCATCCATGTTATCTGACTTTTCACTGTAATATAGTCCACATGTCTATAAATTAACAACTGTCACTCAACAAAGGTCAACGAGTATTCTGTATGAAAAGTATCAGCATGGGCCATGCTTGCCTCCGCTGAAGGTGCAGACATATGATTTAACCAATATTGGCCTATGCTAACTGGTACAGGGATGTGCCAGTCAGTGCAACATATAGCTATCCCAGTGTCATGAAATGGAAACCGTTGTTAAAGCCATTGGAAATTTCAAGAAATGATAATAGTATTTTAATATGGTGCCAATTACCAACACAGAAATCATGCACAGAATCTAAGAGGACTCTAACCTGAAGTTCCCAATGCATTACCATTGTGCGGTACATGTCTACTTGCACATCTCGTAGAATGCTCCAAACCAAAATAAGCAACCTATTAAAAGTCATTATTTGTTAGCTCTTTGCACTAATAGAGAGCAATAAGGAATGTATTCATTTTTGCTCATGTAAAGTACCTTTGCTAAGAAATTCTTATCGAAAAGGACATTGCTTGACCTTAGGTCCCCATGACAAAGAGTGTTATCACAATAATAATGGAGGTACTCCTGCATGCTCAATTTAATAAATTAAAGAGCTTCATAACCCTATGCTAGACATTTGGACAATCTAATTGAAATAAGTTGCTCGATTTCATAAAATTTAGAGCTTTATCATCATATGGACACATTTGGTCAATCTGAAGAAATAATCTGCATATTACAGAGCTTTCATTCTATGCAGATTATAGGTGTTTGAAACCATCAGTAAAATATATAATATGGATGCAACTGCAACGTATCTTCTTACTTCCAACTAGACCTCATGATGCAAACCAACTGTAAGAGGTTATTTGAGGCCTAAAACAGTCCAAAATTCAAGTAATGTAATACATGTGACAACATGGACTTGAGATGTGAAAATGCATCTAGAATCCAAAAACATGCATGCTTTTCCCTAGATAGTTCAAGAATAGATGAGAAAGATTACTGGATGCCAGATCAAGACTTAAGTTAGTTTGGCAAAAAGACCTAGATACCAGCTATTTAATAATCATCAAAAGCTTTTATTGAGTAACATAGATTGATTAAAATTGATTAATTTTTTGCATACAAAAATAAATACGCACTGGATAAGCACATGAACAGCAGACATAAGACTGCTCCTGAACATGCAGCTAGGTGGACATGCATAATAATTAAAGAAACTAAACTGCACAAATTTGGAGGTAAACATTTGAGATAGTTTGGCATGTCCACTGTTTAACAGATTGAAGTTGTTAACTGTTAGAAAACATAAAGTTAACTTTTTAGACCAGGATGGTAGAAGTAATTTCATAATAACAAATATACCTCCCTGCTCAAAGAGGTTTCCTTTACATGAAACAAATACAAAGTTTACTTAAAAAGCTGTCTGATAAATGAGTTTGATGCACTTTAATTCTTTATGGCAGTAGCAAGTTTTGCAATGAGTTACCAGAGCATTAGCAACATCAATGGCTATTTGGATCCTGGTCTTCCATGGTAATGGAGTTCGTCCAGATGCTGCAAAGATAAAAGAACAGAATTTGCCTAACTTGAATTGTAACACCAAACATTGGCCATGAAGAGAAAGATAGAGCAGAGATTACAATAGAGTTGATCTTTTAGGCTTCCATTTTCCATGAATTCATATATCATGAACCTGAAAATAAAAAAGAAACTACAGTAATCTGTATCTCAAAAGCACTTTGAAGTTTGAACTACCATATGATCACATAATGAGGTAACTACCTCTCCTGTCTAGAAGAACAGAAGCCTCTGAGAGTAACAAGATGACGATGATGCAGTCTGCCAAGAATTTCCATTTCTCGACAAAAATCTTCCTCACTAAGTACTGACATGTTCTTAATCTGTTTCACAGCAGCAACGAACCCATCATCAAATTGAGCTTTGTACAGGATTCCAAATTCACTTTTTCCTAAAATTTTGCTAAAATTGCCTGACGCTTTCTTTATTTCCTTGTAACTGTACCTATGAAACATGGTGGAAGCACCTGTAAAAGGTCAAGGTAAGACTGATTATTCATTTCTTTAATGTACCCTTGCTAATTAGCTTGCTCCATTCCTAATAAATAAGCCAAATAAAAAAAGTGACTCGAACAAATATAAGGGAATCACTTTGATATGCCAAAAATCCAACAGACCATATGGTCAGCAATATTCTCAAATTCATAACTAATTGTTAGTTTAAAATGCCCTAAAGAGATCATTGATCTGAATAGAAGTTCACATCCAGTAGTCCAAGTCGAGACCTAAAATTGTTCATGAAAAGAAAAAGGAAATGAAAGTCACCAAACGTTGACCAAATCCGCCTCATCTACCATTTATATGTTTCTTTATTTGTAAATATCATGCTAAGTAGTAATTTAACCAAGAAAATTTTATCATCTTCCCTTAGAATATAATTTTCTCAATATTCCCTTTCATCTTGTGTATTCTCCTATCTACGAAACCTTATCAAGAGGACTTAGTGATCTACTTCTAATGACCATTAGTTAGATTGCAACATTAGCAACCACATTTTAGAATTGGCATACCTTTCTTAGTCTTCCAGACATGTGGGAAAGAGGAGGCATCCAATGTGCTCCTTGTTGGATTGCTGGCACTTCTTAATTCTCTATTTTTCTTATGAATGAGAAGTATCAGGATAATTAGTAATAGAATTGCTGATCCAGTAATCATAATACCAATTCCTGGTATTAAAGTGAGCTGGAATGGATGGTGATGTTCTCTAAATGGTGTAACAAAAAGATCATGAGCACTAATTGGTGCAGAAGCTGGAGAAGTTGCTGGGGCAACAGGTGAAAAAAATGGCTCTGAAGAATTCCCTGCAATAGAATTTCAGTTCACAGAAAACTGTCATGACAAACAAAAAACAATATAAGTAAAAGTGGTTAAAGCCCACTCCATATATTCAAGAAAAAGATAACTAGAGCATTCAACATTTTCCTAGGTCACCAAAATAAATGGTTAAAGAGAATAGACTGCTTGAACATAAAACCAGAACAGCTTTAAAAGCATAAAAGGATACATACCTGATGATTATCATTCATAGCTAGTTCATACAGATTAAGTAGACCTCATCAATGTATTAAGCATCCTATATAGGGATACAAACTATGTCGACACAAAAAAAAAAATCGGTGTGAACTAAGACAACACCACCACTGATAACTCAGTCGAGCAATGTTCATGCTTTAACATAAGCCAAAACATAAAACTTAGTTGAAGCATGAACATAGTACAAAACACGAGCAATGTTTTCTTATATGAAGAAATTGAGCATCACAATTAAAAGTTAAAATTAACTCCAATAGATTAAATCAAAGGTTTAATTGCATCAATGAATTAAAAACCACGAACCCAGTGCATGAAGCAACCTATGCCTATGCAGGCTCATTTCTGTAGTCAGTTGCATTAATGAATCACTACAGAAAATGTTGCTCTCATTCAGAAAATAACAATTGGCCCAAATGACATGGGTATGATTATGCCAGCACACTGCATGAGGTTCTGTCTGAGCAAAGGACCAATATTGGACCATATGATCCGGTACTAGTTGATATTTGACTTTTTTAATATTTTCTGGTGATACCAAGAAATACAGGTCATATTGATATTGATTATTGTCAAGACACCACTAATCAAAGCATGTATTATGTTGATTTTTGTCATATATGCATTGATTGGACTAAACTTTTTGCTAGATTCAACAATAAAATATCATACACACCTTAATTTCTTTGTTTGTCTTGTTTTTCATTTACATTTCAAAATTTTAAAATCTACTTCATGACAGAGTAAGAAGTCTAATGAACAAAATACATTATACCATTTTTGATATATTTGCTTGATTTTTCAGCTTTACGGTTTTATACAAAATTAGTATTTCATGCGTCAGAGGCTTTGAATATCACTTTTGACTTCATCTTAAGCTACTAGCTTCCTCCATGAATATAATGTGCCATAAAGTGCCAGCCCTATGAAGTCTGAAAGGGAAAATAAATAAGCTCTTTAAGCATAAATTCCTTTTTTTATATGACAAAAAATCTAAAATGGACACACCTTGATGAATGCTGAGCCCTTTAACACTGAAGAAGCAAGTTGCAATATCAATTATTGATGAGTTGTCCCCCTGGTTTGAAAGTGCAACAAAAGCTGCATCACGGCAGGTATTCAAGGTAATGTTATCTTGGTCTCCTACAAGATGGCGAAGGTATGACAAACCAGAGTTTAAGCATCTTTTGCAACTATTATCCAGTGATAGTGGCAGCTTGCAGTTTCTGATGACATCATAAAAATTTGGAGACTGCAGCATATCTGAGATAGTTACTCTCCCCTCACATTGATAGGAAATATGAATTTTAAGTCCCAATCCACAGAACATAGTTGCATTAGAAGGTATTCCACTTAATTTCAAGGTGTCAGAGATAGAATTATAGCAGGCATCAGAAAATGCTGAAGGAACACCCAGCTCTCCTGTTGCATTTGCATAATAAGCAACAGAAACTGCAATGAAGGCATTGATATAGCGGCAACACTTAGCTCGTTCATTTTGATCTGAGCATACAGAAGCTGCTGCCGTTAAATTCCACCAACTCATATCCAGGGGACAATCTGCGTAAGAAAATACGGTTGTTATCAGAAACACCAATGTATTTTCATTGAGGTGCATCATTCATGTACTGCTAATGGTATGCATGAAATAGACTGTCTAAATCATTGCTACAAAAAAATCCCGACCATGGTTGACATCACATTTTCTTATATGTGCCAATACTGAGAGAGAACTGCCAATGCAAAGCATAATTTGAAATTCTGTATGTGGCACAGAAAGTCTCTAATTCCCATCTTTTCTCAAGCAGCAATAATCCTGACACTCCCAACAGTGGTTTTCAATGGACTTATTATGTTAATATCCTAGATTATATGCTATTATATCTGTAGCTTCAAGAAGTTATAAAGCTTCCAACAGCAACTTGATTGTAGGAAACATATGATATCGTTTCATCAGACTGATGACATTGATAAGAAGTTCTTGAAAGCAAGGTGCTATATAAACTATATATTATTCTTCAATGACACAGGTTACCAAAGATTTCAGTGAAGCAACATTTAAACCACAAAGAGGAAACCAATGTAATGTGATTCTGGACCAGACCAGCCGGCCGACAGGGAAAACCTGAACTGGACCCTTGGCCAATGTGGTTCACTAATTCGACAGTTTTTATCAATATTGACAATAATACCCTTAAATAAGTACACATATTTACTTATTGATGGTATTTTAGTCCTTTTTGCAAAAAAAAAAAAAGAGTATATAATTTCTCAAAGCACACATTATCCACTTCTCTTTCTAGTTGCCCCCTCTATCTCTCTCGTCTATCCTTCTTGAAATCTATCATCACTATCATCGGTAATTCTTTTCTTGTCATCCTCCCTTATTCTTTTTGAAATATATTCTCTTTCTTTTTTTTAATCATTGTCTTTCTTGCCTTCTTTCACAAACATTTTTTTTCTTATCATGACGTGTCATATGCTGACCTCTTTTTCCTGTCAGCTAATTCATTAGAGTTTAGATTTTTGATTTGTTGATCATCAAATTTCATCAACTCATTCTCTAACAAAACAAAATTTCATAAGTATATTTTTATTATATATCTTAATATATTTTTAATACAAAAAAATATTTATCTCTCAAATATATAATAGATACATATATTTATTTTTAGATATTTTACATCGAATTAACAGCCTGATTACTTAAGCCACCAGTCCAACCAACGATCAAGTGACCCAAGCAAGGCTTGCTCAAGTTGTTCAGCCAGACATAAAACTATGCTGTGTAGTTTATGTTATGTATAAGATGCAGAAACTTTTGCACAAGAAACAAAGTGAAAATTAGCAAATGCTGCAACATAGCAAATCCTCAAAAGCAATTGAAGTCTTCAGGCTCAAAAGAAAGTATGCTCTTTATAACAGAAATCTTCTAATTGCAGAGCGATCACAATATTGTTATGGATCAAAGAGAAAGTGCTTACTTTTAAAAGTGGGAGTAACACTAACCTCCGAAAGGTTGATAACTCTCACGTAAAATAATGAGAACAAAAATGTATCAATCGCTAAACAATTAATGGAAGTAAATCTATTCAGCTAAGCCATACAATAGCATTTACATCAAGGCCAATACCAAAAAGGGATTCACAAGCTGTCAGAGAAATTATACAAAAAAAAATACTAGTTGTATACTTGTATGATACATAGGAACGGCTGGGCAAGGCCTCTTAAGTTAATTGAACGAGGAAGCACAACAAATATTCAAGGAAAAAAGAACAAACTAGGAACAAAACTGGGCCCTTCAGTTTCGCTTGCCAAGCAGGTGAACAGAAGAAAAAGACAAGTGATGATTAATGCTTGATGACTGTGTGTCTGAAACAACTGGCATGAACGAGTTCTGGACAGCTCACGCTCCAGGCTAAGCAGAAACACATGGCAGACTACAACGATAACAATAGTAAAAGATCAATGACTAGACGAAACCTAGTAATTTCTCCTTGGTCAATCCGTATTACTCCAAAATATGGTTTCATTACTCCACTTAACCGTGTTCCATCTACTTTGCCATCCAGCAATTACCTTGTTAGGCAAATAAAAAGGAACGAACTCGGCGAAAACGACACCTTTTAGAATTAGCGTCGAGTCATGAGTCGTTTGTTCAAAAGACTCAAGAGCATGAGACCAAGTATGCTGCCAAGAAAATTGCAGCAGCTATAAGTCATTCTCACAATGAACATCGCCATCAAGCCGTGATGCTAACGTTCAAAATCCATGTGATGCCCTAATCTGGAAGTAAGGAAAAGCTTGCCCACCAAAAGGAACCATTTTGAGGAGCAAATGCTGAGCGAACCGAAGCCTATCTGGAAAACAACAAATGACCTTGGACCATTCTCACAACAAACCCCTACATAACAAAATGAGCTCGCACCGAAAAGATGAGAAAGAAACAAAAGATCATAAAGATAGCCATGAGAACCGCAAAGAACCAAAGCCAGAACCCACAAATCGTCAGAAACAACGACAGCCAGCAATAAACGGAACTTCGACATGGATCCATCGACGAGAGCAAAGGAAAAGAACCTCCTGCTGTCGCCGGCAAGAAGCTGGGCCCCGCAAACACTAGCGCTACCAGGAAGGAGGATAGCAAGAGGTACGGCCGCATCGGAGACCAGCCAAGGAAAGCAAGAAAGGCGAACAGGGCAAGCGAGAGAGAGTGGGAGAGAGCAGTGGGTAGCGAGAACCACACTTCCTGCCTCCTTGCTTGCCTAATTTAACAGCTCCACCAAAGTCCTCCTTTCGAGTCTTCACCAAGCCTCGTTTCGAATCTTCGCCTCGTCTCGGTCCGGAAAGCGCGACAAGGGAGGGAGCGCGGCGGAGGTGGCGACGAGTGGGGGTGCCTTAAATGGTGCCGAGGGTGAGCGGAACGGGACGCGACAGCCACGGCACGTGCGGTGGTCCCGTCTGGTGGGGCCAGAGGAACCGCGGGCGTGGGGCCCCAAGCATGTCGTGCGTCGGGAGGAGAGGTATTATCGCGAGCAATACGTTGCGTCCCCGCCTACGCGTTACCTATCACTGCCCGCCCGAAGTGGGACCGACATTCTGTCCAATGAAAAACTAGGTAAATAAGAAAGGTGCGGCGCAAGAGTTTGGCGTGAGCTCGTCGACGATGATTCCGCCGTGCGCTGCAATCAAGTTTGATAACGGGCTTTAAGTCAGGCCTCAAGTTAAAAGTACGATCCAAGCCGTTTACATAAGTTCAGCCCGTTAAGGGTCAAAATTGACTGAGACTCGTCATACGGGTCAAAATAGACCCAAAGACTTTTAGTTGATCTAATACTCGAACTCAGACCTTCAAATGAATATTAAGTTAGGTCTTCTTCCCACATGAGTTATTTGCTTATATGAGCTTAATTTATAGATTTTTTTGGTATTTAAAATTTAATTCTTTTAAAATCCATTGATAATGGACTGTATTGGACGGAAGCCAACGAAATTGATATATATATATATATATATATATATATATATATATATATATAAAATAAATGTGTGAGCCCAAATGTTGTTATCATACATGCGAGTAGTTGAAGGGGGACTTAACTAACACACTAATCTAATCATACATTTGGCAAATAGACTTATTGCCACTCATGCATACACACACTGCACAGCACAGATATTAACTTATCGTTCCTATCATTTAAGCGAAGCATAATTGGGGACAGGCAGTGCAGAGTCACATGCTATTTTAGGGCATCGTGTGTCATCCCACCTGTGTTGCATCTATCAACACCGAGGTGGCGCCACCTGGTACATCCCCGGTGCTACAGTAACTTTCGTCATCTCTCCCCCCCCCCCACGTCATCGTCCGAGATAGCATTGTTAGTTTAGATGATTTTATTTAATTAAATAAATTATATTATATATTTAATTAAATTTTGATTATGATTATCCTCGAACCTTCTTCCTCGTCGTATTGGATATTATTTTATCGACCCTTCTTTTTATCAGATAAGTATTATTTCTTCGGGAAAGAATAATACTTTTGATAGTGTTAAACTTTAACACTATCAAAAGGAACAACATTTTTATTAGTAGGAGGTTTGGGTCTAAGAAATAATTATTTCCATCTGTATTATCTAAGAAAACCTAATTTCTCTTTCAAAATGATGTATAATCAAACAAATCTATTTCTAAATTTAATAGAAGTATAAAAGATGAAGTGAATAAAGTATGGTAGATATGTCAAAAGTACGTTGGATTACACTAATTTATATAGAAAAAAATTTTAATTATGATATAATTCCTTAGGAGATAATCTTAACGAGAAAGACTTTTCTGATTAATTATTCTAGACCCTCTACTCTCCTTATAAATAGACAATGTCTTAGGGACTAAAAACTTAATATTATTTAGAAATTATAGATATTCTCTTATCTCTCCTTAATCTTTATTTCATCGTTTATAGTGATCTTTCGAAGGATAGGAAGAGAGAACAAGATGACTCTAGTTCTCCTTGTAGATCGATATTGTTGCTCCCTATGGATCGAACGATGGTACACTTGCAAATTAGGTTTTTCGATAGCATCAAAAAGTATATAATCCTAACCTTAATCTATTTCGATTTTGGCATTAATATTTTTTCACATAATAAAATCATGATTATAGTTTTCATGCTTATAATTAGTATCAATACTGTGTTTTAAAATCAAATACCTTAGATTATAAAAGTATATCATATATATTTTCTATTTAAATCTATTTATTCATACCTTTCGCTTGTGAAAAGATATTATCCAATTATGATTGTACGATGCTTGAACAATCCATGTGTATTGTCAATTTACTTTCTCATCTTGTTCATTTTGTACGGTATCTGAATTTATTCATTTATGCTCCTTGCCTACTTGCAAGCATTATAATACGGTGGAACCATGACAATGATTGCGAATATGGCAATCGCTTATGTATATGGCGGTCGTCATTTCATCGTTGTTGCTAGTGTGCAGTAGCTTAAGTTTCACGTCGCTATAGCCTATGTGCTACAACCCCTTCAAAGCATCACAAAGGCTTATTGTGGTCGTTAATGCAACATATGCAGCGGTGACTTTGGCTGGCATCATTATTATCTACGGTAGTAGGAATTGGTCACATGCGGTGCTGCATGACACTAGTAGTGGTAGAATAAGTATGAATCGCATTGAGAGGGTTCTTCATGTTATCTTTGGAGGATTGGCAACATGTGCAATGGAACAGTGATGAAGATGTCATCACAGTAATCAATCGATCACAAACACATGCACTACCGATGTAGGTCACGTCGTAGGGCTCGTCGGTCGACCGCGAAGAAGATGTGTGATTGATGAGACTCGTGTAACCGTGATAATTGCACACGTAGACATGATGGAATGTCATAAAGACTAATCAACTGTAAAAAGAGTCCGAGTAAGTGACACACAAGCAACGGACAATCGTTCCCCACAGCGATCGCATACTACACACAGGTTGAGAAGGGACCAGTGTTTTTACATATTAAAGGAATACTTTGTCCTTCTAATTTTTTTTTATTTTAGTCGATGTCCACTTAGATAGTTCTACTCTTAGGAAATCAAATATTTTTGGCTTATGTCCCCAATTATAAAATTGACCATTTTTGACATGTTACTTTGATCAGACTTGATTCTGATTGTATATTGATTGCTTAATTAGATTTAGATTCGATCAATCTCATTTTGACTTAATTTGATAAAAATTATATTTTGACCAATTTTTTACTTTGATCAATTTTAATTTTGATCGACCAAATTAGGTCAATGTTTACCCAAATCTATTGGCTCATGTTTGGGTAGTCTAATCTTAGGGTTGCCCAATTAAATAAAGTTGACTAATCTGATTTAGGATTTCATACAAAATTAAGAAAAAAAATAAATTATAGTTTTCTTTTATAATTTTCTTAATGGCATATTCATAAAATTTTGCTAATGATAATTAAATTTTATTTATTATTTTGGATATTTGCTTAGTTATTCACTTGTATATATTTTAAAATTATAAAATAATATTTATTTTCACATAAATGCATGTGTTGATTTATGTTTTATCATAATTATAATTATCATATGAGTTTTATTTTAAGTTGATTAATGTTCAATAATTATTATAATTATTATTTTATTATTATTAAACTAATTCTACTAAATTGGCTTAGGATAGTAGATTTATAGGATGTGAATTATAATAAAAAATTTATCATTTATAGGATATTTTTAAACTATATTTATATTATTGTATTGATTTTGTATCCATCAAAGTGGTTTAGACTAATAACTTTTAAATTTATATCAAAGATTTTAGTCTTAAATAATATTAATAAAAATAATATTTATATTGATACATATAGAAGATTTAATTCTAAATTAGAATTTATTTTAAATAATCATGTGATGGAGTAGGATGATATTATTTTGAAGGTTGTATACCTAAATATATTAATATTATTCTACAAGCATGATATTAATCCTTCATAAATAATTTTGAGTGTATACTTAATATGTCAATATTTCACCATATTGACGATATCAAATAATTCATCATATTTTAAAATTTTAATATATTAATATTATTTTATATTTTATAATGGTACTTCCTTCCCTATACTCTTATACTTCCAGTATCTCTATAGTTTCTGGATTAATTGATTTTAAATGGCTTGAATATATACAATTTATAGAAATAAAATATAAAGTAATATAAAGTAATGTATTATTACATTATCAATAATAGAAGTTGAATTTGTGGTATACTTTGATACCACTAATGAAGCTTTATGACTTCAAAATTTTATCTTATGACTCGATATGATTAGACTTAATTACTAAGTCACTGAAAATATTTTATAACATATCGTGGTAGTTTTTTTCTTTAAGAATGACAAGTACTCTAGTAATTCGATACATTATAATATAAAAGTACTTGATGGTCAAAGAAAGAGTCCATAAATAATAATTATTATTATTAATTAAGAACTTGAGTTACATTGTATTGATTATTAATTTATTCACTGAGGTCTTACAACGTAAAGTGTTTAAAAGAACATATTCTTATAATTAAGTTTTTGAACAACCTATAAAAGATATTATAAATGATATTTTTACTTACATAATTAAAGTTATTTGTTTCTACTATCCTATTCATATTTATGTATATACATATTATGATTAAATATAATAATAATATGATATTAATATAATAAATTATAAAGGTCATTTTGAACTACGAAGGACTAATAATATTATGATACATAAAAAAAAAATATGATATTGATAACATATAGTCACTATGACCTGCATTGATAGTCACACTTAATGTGTTATTATTATATTTATTTAACTTATTAGTATGTTTTATAAAATTCATGCATATGTATGCATGCTTTTTTTGTTAAGCTTCATAATCTAATTAAGTAAAATTATTCTCAAATAACCTTTTTATTTTTTTATTTATTTTTATTATGAATTCTTTTATATTTTACCAATTAATAGACTAAATTGAAGATTGTTAGATTATTTTGGCAAGATATATTATAGATTGGATTGGATTCTCGTTATGATTATCGACTAATAGAAAGAAAGTTGAATTAGTATGATTCCTTAGGAGATTACTATGATCGGAGGGACTCCTAATTATTTATCCTGAACCCTTTACTCTTATCAGGACCTCCAAATGACTCAAGACATGTTATTAACATATCATAGATATTCTTTTATTTTTCGTCGGTCCTTGTTTCAACGCTTATAGTGGTTAGATAGGAAGAAAAAAGAACACAAGTCTGGTTCTCTTTGCTTGTAGGTCGTTATCATTGTTTACTTCGGATCGGACCATGGTATGTTTCTAGATCATATAAAGAATTTTTAAATAATATTAAATTATAAACAATCTTGATCTTAATCTATCATTGTTTGATTTCGATTATTATATTAAAAAAATTTACATAATAAAAAATTGATTACAATTTTTATATTTATAAGCATCATTATGTCCCCCGTGTTCCTAACGATACAAGACAGGTGGCGGAGAAGGTCACAATGAACAGACGCATTGCTGCATACATGTTTTTGAGAGTTATTAAGCCACAGGGAGTTTGCTTGCTGCTTCAGCTGCTGTTACTGCTTCAGCTATCAGTGCTTACTTCTCCTGCTGCTGCTGGGAAGGTTCTTTCACTTGCTCATCTCGATCTCCCTTATCATGGATTGTTTGTGTTTCAGTAGGTATAGGTATCATTTCTTCTTTTCTTTGTTCATCAAATTAAGCTTGGACACATGTGCATGTTGAATCGAAACTGCGACGCCGGGCTGCATTGCGAGGCATGCATCGCCAGCGGCGACGGATTGTTCAGGTGCACGCGAATTCAGCCCTCCGATCCCAAATCGAAGGTCTTGATCTCCTCTCTATCTCTCTCTCTCTCCCTCTCGTCTTCCCTCACTGCTTACCGTCCCTCGGCAACAGGAGACCGGTTTGCCGTTTAATAGGTACTCGTGGTTGACGACTCACAACTCGTTCGCGAAACTCTGTCCAGAATCGCGCACCGGAATACCCGTGATCACCCTGGAGAACCAGCAGGACTCCATTACTGATCAACTCAACGTACGCACTTAAACACTGACACCAGCTTCTTCTTACTCCTTCTCTACCATTCTGTCTGCTTAACTCGGCGGAGGATCGTCGAAGATGGGTCACCGTCGACCCGCCTTACCCACCGAGTCGTCGCACGGGAAGCGCTGAGTCGAGCTATCTCGGCCCACCGCTCACGCACCGTGCACGAAGCTGGCAGCCATGTGTTACACGTGTGGTAGAATTTTAATTATCTCAATTAAAATAAATTCCGATTTGGACCAAAAACTTACTTCAATTATTCGTCGATATTTTTTGGCCATGAGTAGCTTAGCTATATAGAAAACAATGACACAAAATAGTGTAAATGAGATTGATTATTAGACACATCACCTGATTGTCCATTTGCTGCAATGAGTGTAGAATGGCGTAAGGGGGTTGATGTTGGACATGTACGACTTCCTGGATGACATCTGGTTGTGCCACTCCTTCGGTGGCAAATGCCACGACATCACTGCCTTCGTAAGCCCCGCTACTGTTACATTACCTGCATGCATCATTCGGGTCTTCTTCTTCTTCTTCTTCTTCGTTAAATCACTCCATTTCCTGGTTCTTCAGCAACCGGCGATCGATGTGCTCAAGGAAATCCAGGTTTTCCTTGAAGCAAACCCTTCGGAGGTCGTCACGATAATTATCGAGGACTACGTCACGTCCCCCATGGGCCTCACCAAAGTCTTCAACGCTTCCGGACTGTTCAAATACTGGTTCCCGGTCTCAAGAATGCCCAAGAATGGCGGGGACTGGCCGCTGCTCAGCGACATGATCAGCCGAAACCAGCGCCTGCTGGTGTTCACCTCCAAGTCCGCCAAAGAAGCATCCGAGGGCATCGCCTACGAGTGGAAGTACATCGTGGAGAATCAATGTGAGGAGAAGGCGTTGCCTACGGCTCACCAGCTGAAACCTCAACCTGTTTGATGTTATTGCAGATGGAGACGGAGGCATGGAGGCAGGCGCGTGCCCGAACCGAGGGGAGTCGTCGCCCATGAACACCACGTCGAGGTCGCTGGTGCTGATGAACTACTTCCCCACCATTCCAAACCCTGTGACGGCCTGCAAGCACAACTCCGCCCCGCTTCTGAGCATGCTGAACACCTGCCATAACCTGTCGGCGAATCGCTGGCCCAACTTTATAGCCGTCGACTTCTACAAGGTCAGTGATGCATTCCTTCTGGAAATTCTTGTAGAGGTTAGGGATGACGTCCTCGTGATCTCCGCTGCAGAGAAGTAATGGAGGTGGAGCACCGGAAGCCACGGACGTAGCCAACGGGCACTTGGTTTGTGGATGCGACAACATTGCCTACTGCAAGGTACGTCGGAGATCGTATGACACGGTGATCAAAGCACTAAAATTTCATGGATCACATGGCGGTTCTTTGTCACAGGTAAATGCCTCGTTTGGGGTCTGTGAAGTTCCACCTCCGCCGGCGCCGACGGCCGACTCTTCCGGCTCGTCGATGGCTTTGCTTCTTGCACATCAACTCCGATACTTGTGGTTGGCAGTGATCATCTCGATCTCCGTCAGCATTAGATAGTCTGGTTTTGGATGTGTGTGGATTCGAAGGCATTGTGTTTGGCACAGAAATTGTTTCTGCCCAGTGCGGGTCACCCAATGGTTGCGCGATGGTCGAGTGCTAAGCAATGGCTGTAGGGCTCGTCGGTCAATAGTAGAGGAGATATGTGGCCGATAAGACTTGCATAACTATGATTAGTCGTACGTTTTGACATGGTGGAATGCCATAAAGATTAATTGGCCACAAAGGGAGTTTGAATAGTTGGCGCATAGGCAATAGATAGTCACGCACCGTGTTGACCGCATACTACGCGTAGGCTGAGAAGGGATTAGGATTTTTTGACCTATTTAAAGGACTATTTTGCCCTTCTAAACTGTTTAAATTTTAGTTGATGTCCTCTTAACAATTCTACCCTTTAAAAAAATATATTTTCAATATGTATCCCAACAAAATTATATTTTTACCCTTAGAAAATTATTATTTACTTGTGTCCTCAACCATGAAATTGATCAATTTGACCTACTATTTTGATGGGACTTAATTTTTAGTTGTTTGATTGGATTTAGATTCAATTAATCTCATTTTAACTAAATTTGAGAAATATCAAATTTCAACTAATTTTTTTACTTTAATCAATTTTAATTTTAATTGACCTAATTAGACTAATGTCTATCTCAAATCTATCAGTTGTCCAATTCTTGGCCTATCCAATTAAACAAGATTGGCCTGTCTAATTTAGAGTTACATACTAAATTTTAAAAATTTATAAATTATAATTTTTCTATAGTTTTTTCATATGACATATTCATAAAATTTTACTTGTAATAATTAGATTTTAATTACTATTTTAGATATTTGTTTAGTTATTTACCTACATATATTTTAAAATTATGAAATAATACCTATTTGTCACATAAATATTTTATTTATATTTTATCATGATTAAGGCTATCATATAAGTTTTCTTTTAACTTGATTAATGCTTTATAATTATTATAGTTATTATTTTATTATTATTAAACTATTTATGCATAAATTAGATTTAAAAAACAATGAATTTTACTATTGAACTATTCTGCTAAAGTGACATATGATGATAGACTTATGGGATGTGAATTGCAATAAATATTTTCTTATTTATAAGATATTTTTAAGCTATATTTTATATTATTGTATCGGTTCTATAATAATCAAAGTGATTTCAACGATAACTTATAAGATTACATTGAAAGAATTAGTTCTAGATAATATTAATGAAAATATTATTCATAATAACATACATAATTAAGATATTTGGATAATTGTAAATGAGAATCTATTTCGAATAATTATATAATAGGGTAAGATAATATTATTTTTGATATCCTTATAGTTTAGGATTATATACCCAAAGATAACATACTATTCAACAAATGATGGTATTAATCCCTCATAAATAATTTTGAGTAAATATTGGATATTTTTAATTTTTTTTTCTTAAAGTGAAATATTGATGATGTCGATCATTCATCATATTTTAAAAATTTTAAAATATTGATATTATTTCATATTTTATAATGACATTTCCTTCTATATACTCTTATTCTTCTAGTGTCCTTATCATTAATTTACACTAGATGTGTTAATTCTTGATCCGACTAGTTGAAAGAATCACAGTTATAATTATTAAAAACTTTATGAAACAAATAATTATGATAAATGATTTAAGAATGGTCTAAAAGACTTAATTTTATTATAATTGCTAATAATATTTAAATTTCATTATAGTTTACAACTAACACATTAGAATATTTAAAGATTAATTTATATTTATTAATAAATTATTAGTTAACATATTAATAAAAGAATTGATTAAAATTCAATATAATATATTTAAAAAATTAAAATTATATCTTCTATATAGCTAACAAAGCTGAAAAATTGAGGACGAATGTAGTTGAGTGTTTTTTTTATACAATTTATTTTAAATTTTATTCTTTTTAGTTTGACTCATTTAAAATTTACTATAATAAAATTAAAAATAAATATAACTTAAATAAGTTAAATATTATACTTATTTAGAAATTATTTAAATTAAAATATGAAAGACTTATAATATTTTAGGTATTACTCAAAGAGTAGATAATAATAAAAAAAATTAAATCCTTTGAGTTTATAAATACTATATAAACTCATAAAAAAAAATCTCTATAGTAAAATGTGATACGAAGGAAGACTATAAGATTTTAAATCGAAAAAAAAATTATAAGTATGATATTTGCATGTTTCGAATTAAACGTTACATAAGTCCTTTTCTAATGTGGTGAATTAATTATTATGTTTCAACTTATATTATTAATAATAAATTTTATTTTAATATTAAAAATAAAAATATATAAAATATTTATTATTATAATAAATAATCTTAAAGTGAAAATAATAATAATAGATATTTATCACCTATGTTTGGATTCATTTGATTAATATTGTACGTACATGCATGCTGAAGCGAAAACGAAGCATCTCGTGCTACTGCGAGGAGAGAGCAGTATCACGAACGATACCCTGTGTCCCCGCCTACGTCTTACCTATCACTGCCCTTTCAAAGTGGGGCCCACATTCTGTCCCACGACAAGCTTGGTAAATTCGAGAGGTGGGACGCACGAGTTTGTCGTGACCTCATCAACATTGATTCCGCCGTGCTCTGCAATCAAGTTTGATAACGGGCTTTAGTAAGGCCTCAAGTTCAAGTAGGATCCAAACCGTTTACAGAAGTCCAACCCGTTAAGGGTCAAAATTGATCGAGACCCGTCACACGGGTCAAAATAACTCGAACTCCGACCTTCAAATGAATATAAGTTAGGTCTTCTTCCTACATGACTTATTTGCTTGTATGAGCTTAATTTATAGATTTTACTTCAATTTTTGACCAGTTATATTTCACAATTATTCGTTACCGTGTATCGTCATGTGGGGTCCATTTTCTAATCCATCCTCAACATCTAATGATGCGTTTGGTATCTTTATGCGAGTAGTTGACGGGGGACTTAATTAACTCACTAATCTAATCATACATCTTGCTAATAGACTACGGACGGTCAGTGCAGAGCCACATGTTATTTGAGGGCATGTGTCTATCGACACCGTGGTGGCGCCGCCTGGTCCGACAACGGGGTTGCGGACATGTAACTTTCGTCATCTCTCCCCCACGTCATCGTCCATTAAACCGACGGAGACAGCATGGCTTCTTGTTCTTTATTGCCATTGTGACCTACCGGTATTCCTGACCATCCAAGCAAAGAGAGGTGGAGGAGAAGGTCTTAACAGCGAACAGACGCAGATATGCAGGCATGTGTTTGATGAGGCTCTTCTGTTCTCTGTGCCTTGTACTGTGTGCTTAAGAGTCGTCAATCCACAGGGACTTCGCTTGCTGCTTCAGCTGCAGCTGTTACTGCTGCTGCTTCGGCTATCAGTGCTTCCTTCTCCTGCTACTGCTGCGCAGGTTCTTCTTTCGCTTGCTCATCTCGATCTCCCTTATCTCGGAGTATCATTTCTTCTTTTCTTTGCGCATGAAATTAAGCTTGGTGACATCTGCGTGTCGAATGAAAACTGCGACGCCGGGCTGCATTGCGAGACATGCGTCGCCAGCGGCAACGGGTTGTTCAGGTGCACGCGAATTCAGCCCTCCGATCCGAAATCGAAGGTCTTGATCTCCTCTCTCTCCCTCTCCCACTCCCTCGCGTCTTCCCTCGCTGCTTATCGTCCCTCGACAACAGGGGACCGGTTTGCCGTTTAATAGGTACTCGTGGTTGACGACTCACAACTCGTTCGCGAAACTCGGTCAGAAATCGCGCACCGGAACGCCCGTGATCACCCTGGAGAACCAGCAGGACTCCATCACCGATCAACTCAACGTACGCACTTAAACGCTGACACCATCTTCTTCGTACTCCTTCCTTCTCTACCATTCTGTCTGCTTAACTCGGCGGAGGATCGTCGAAGATGGGTCACCGTTGACCCGCCTTAACCACCGAGTCGTCGCACGCGAAGCGCTGAGTCGACTTATCACGGGCCACCGCTGAAGCACCGCGCACGAATCACGAAGCTGGCAGCCAGAATTTTAATTATCTCAATTAAAATAAATTCCGTTTGGACCAAAAACATACTTCAATTATTCGTTGATATTTTTTGCCAATGAGTAGCTTAGCTGTATAGAAAACAATGACAGGGAGTTGGTGTGACACCAACCAAGCTGTCTTTAGAACCCACCTTGAGAGAGAAATCCACTATAAAATTAGAGTATATTATGCTAACTATATGAAAGCATATTTATATGTTACATTCTCATGTGTTTGGTGATTGAGATCATGAGCTGAAATGGGCTTTTGTGAAGGAACAGATATCAAGTTGACTACATCATATTGACCATGTTATAATTGTAAACAAATTCCAACCAGTATTTATTTGAGTTGTCTTTTATGATCATTTGGTGGTTGGAATGAGAGTGTCCACATGGTCTTCTTATCCAACCAACAAGTAAATAAGTCCAAGATGCATTAAATGGTGTAAATTAGATTGATTATTAGACATTCATGTCTTACCCATCACCTGCTTGTCCATTTGCTGCAATGAGTGTAGAACGGCGTAAGGGGGTTGATGTTGGACATGTACGACTTCCTGGATGACATCTGGTTGTGCCACTCCACCGGTGGCAAATGCTACAACTTCACTGCCTTTGTAAGCGCCGCTACTGTTGCATTACCTTCACGCATCATTCGGGTCTTCTTCTTCTTCGTCGAATCACTCCTTTTCCTGGTTCTTCAGCAACCGGCGATCGATGTGCTCAAGGAAATCCAGGTTTTCCTTGAAGCAAACCCTTCGGAGGTCGTCACGATAATTATCGAGGACTACGTCACCTCCCCCATGGGCCTCACCAAAGTCTTCAACGCTTCCGGACTGCTCAAGTACTGGTTCCCGGTCTCAAGAATGCCCAAGAATGGCAGGGACTGGCCGCTGCTCAGCGACATGATCAGCCGAAACCAGCGCCTGCTGGTGTTCACCTCCAAGTCCGCCAAAGAA